GTATTTGTTTGCCTCTGTTTTTTTCATAATCTGATCTATTACCTTGCAATATTGGCACCTTTTAATTTTCCTTTATCCCCACTAGTTGTGATGTTATCCGACCATTATCTTTGACAATTTAACAGCTCATTCTGTTTTCCTCCATCCCTCTAACTCTACTCGTCTCACTTACCTGTTAACTTCATGGCCCTGGAGAGCTACTGTCATCTTTCTTTTTGCTTTTCATGCATCTTTTTGCTTCACTGAGCCTTGTGAATGGAGACTTTAACTGAATATCTCATCATAAATACCCCTTCCTTAATGCTACTATCCTGCTTACTGCAACTCTAGTCTTCTGCTAGAGTAACTGACTCAGCTCCTAACTAATTCATTTTACTGACTGAACATTCGACTTGCCAGTCACCGCTCTATTGCTTAAAATCACAGCCACCTGCTATTCAGATTAAGCCTTCACCGGACCCCCTTTTCACATTATCAAAACTGCAGTCTTCTCTCCCAAATCCTTTCACTCTCCACACTGACTCTTATTTCCTCTTGCTTGGTGGTCTCTTCCCTTTAAAGGTTTCCACCCATCCTAACAATTCCTCACCCAGGTCCAGGTTCCATGTCCACATTTCTTGTGCCTCCCCTGCTATTCTAGTTTAATCTCATCAGTCCCCAGCTCTCTACATTGTACAAATAAGACGACTTCTGTTTGGTACTAATACTCTTCCAGTATTATCTGCTGCTCCCCATCTTATATCGCAAGTCAAATACTACAACCAGGAACTGATCTTTTATTGCACTGTAAGCTCCTAACACAACAAAGTCCCAAGCCACGACGGAAAACTGTAATCAATAATGTATACATGTCACAACTTAACATTTGTTAAGTGCCTCCAGATCTTATACAATGAAAGGTGCTATTCTGTGTTAAAGCTGTGGTTGAATAGCCACAACAGTACAGTGATGTACATCAAAGGTACACATGGCTCTCTCTTTCTGCTTACATATAAAATTTTAAAAAGTCATCTGTATCTGCTTAAAAAGATATTCAGTAAGAATGATCAAACAGTTCTCTTTTGTGCTATTTTACATGTTTGTTTGCAGACACAAACTTTCTATTGCATATTGTATAAATGAAAAATTACATTCATTTGGAAGCAACAGAAAGGAGATTCTGTACATGAGAAGTGAGATTCTGTATGTAAGCTTCCACACAAAAGGTCTTTAGCACAGATGGGCACATTCTAAATTTAAGATGGATGATATGTCACGTTAGAACAGACAAGGTTGAAGAGATGTCTGCAGGGACACAGCCCCAGGAAAAAGTAGGGATTAGCTTGTCAATAAAGATGTAAACAGACTGCTCTGAGGCAGCCTCATTTCTGACATCAGAAAACCTTAAATGGTTTGCTGGCAAAGAGCATGTGCAAAAATTGGGGCAGGCTGTCAAGACCGAAATATATTCATTTCAGTTTTTCAGTAGTTACTGCCTGTCAGGCAAACAGCCTCCATAACATTACAGGGTTAAAAAAAAAATTGCACATAAACATACAACAGTGAAACTGAATATAACTCATTAGAGAAAGTTATAACTCATATTGTAACAAGCAGACTTAGCTAAAGATAGACTTAATGAGAATATCAACTACATTTATGAGACTATACCTTTGAGTAGGTACATGAGCAGCATGTGCATTTATTTCAGCTCCTAGAACTTCCATAACAAGCTGTTATAATGGACTCAACTTTCAAAAGCAACCGTGACTTTAAAAAAAAAAAGGCAGGTCTAAGTTTTGAATGAAACTTTGGGCATTTTGTGAAACACTGTATGAAACCATTTAGAGAAGCATAATAAGAAAAGCAGCTATATAAGGGAATACTGCTAATCTGGAAGAGTCTGTCAAGTGGTAAATCCCAATGAACAAACACTGGGGTGATGTATACAGGCAGAAGAGAGTTAATGCCATGATATAGGAGCAGCCTCATGTTCATAAGCCCTGGTCCTCACGGGGGACTTCAACCACCCTGATATCTGTTGGAGGGACAACACGGCAGGGAGTAAACAATCCAGGAGGTTCCTGGAATGCATTGATGTAACTTCCTTCTCCAAGTGATAGAGGAGCCAAAGAGGCGAGGTGCTGTGCTGGACCTTGTTCTCACCAACAAGGAGGGGCTGGTGGGGAATGTGAAGCTCAAGGGCAGATTTGGCTGCAGTGACCATGAAATGGTGGAGTTCAAGATCCTTAGGGCACTGAGGAGGGTGCACAGCAAGCTCACTACCCTGGACTTCAGGAGAGCAGACTTTGGCCTCTTCAGGGATCTGCTTGGTAGAGTGCCACGGGACAAAGCCCTGGAGGGAAGAGGGGCCCAAGAAAGCTGGTTAATATTCAAAGATCACCTCCTTCAAGCTCAGGAGCGATGCATCCCAACAAAGAGGAAG